CTGTGAGACCCACTTTGATGTTAACTTGCCATGCGACTTTCTGAACATCTCTTCTTGTCTGTCTCTGAGGCTGGGTTTCTTTACCCTTCTGAGGGGGGATAATGAATGATATCTGTTCCACCTATTGATAGGATGACCTTACCTGATACTACAAAATGGTAACATAGAAAGACGTTAGAAATGACACAGTATTCAAGGATAAGGTAGACACTTGCTGTTCGCTTCTTCTCAATTTCTTCCTCCAACAATTCCTTAAATATTGAGATTTTTCAGGGCTCAGTTCTAAACATTCTTCTCATCTTCCATTTCTGGGCTATCTCTTCTGTTCCCGTGGTTTCAGTTATGTGTACCATCCACACACAACCATCTTTTGAGCTCTAGATAGTCATATAACTCCCAAACCTCATGGGGCCCAGTCTCGGTTTGGAGTTGCATTTAAAGAAATTATAGTCCAATAATTAAAAGCAATTGAAAAGTAATACTACTCTTTACTTGTGTCTTGAAGAATATAACAGCCTGTAGATTATAACTCAGCAATATTTCTTAAAATCTCTACCTCTCCTTGCTCCCCAACCCCTAGCCAAGCCTTAGTCAGTCCCTTTGATTTAGGCTCCCATTTTTTCCATACTGACCCTGACAACTAACAACTCTCTCCGGTCTATTTTCATCTGAACTTCTCTCCACAAAGCAAATCTTTGGCTCATGTTTTCTTCTTCATCTTTTTTTTTTTTTTTTTTTTTCTGCCTAGCATGATAAGAGCTCAGGAACTAGAGCTCAGGGACTGGGCTGACAAAGACCAGATTCTCCCTGGAGGATGAGGGGGGAAGGAGAGGTTGGTTACTTTGGCAAAGACTCTTACTGGGTAGGAGAGGCAAGGGAGGCTGAGAACATTCACATGTAAATAATCTGTATTCCCAGCACACTTATGGAGTGGTCTGCTTGCTCTCTACTTATATGTTCCATAGAGTACCTCGGAATCAACCTACCTAAAACTTGACCCTGTTATTTTCCACCCAAATGTGCTTCTCCTCCAGTATCCCTTATCTTTGTACAAAGTACCCATCATGCTCTTAGTTGCTTATTCCGGACATCTGAACATCATCCTCAAATTCTTGCTCTCCTCCTCTTTCACGGTCCATCCAAATTCTCTTTAGCCTAGATACTAAATACGTATTTCCAGAATCTCTTTTACTGCATCTCCACTGCTGCTCCTGAACTTGTTGCTCCCCTGCAGTTTTCCGTACTCCAGTCAGAAGGATCCTTTAAAAACATGAATCTCATCGTTCCTTTTCCTCTTTTACACTATTTATAAGGCTTCTGAATACCAAACCCTTTAATATGGCCTCTAAGATCCCGTATAGTCTGGTTGGTCTCTGTCCATGTCTCTAAAAATAGTCTCCCTTCCTCAACGGATGCATTTCTTCCTGCCTCAAAGCCTTTGTCTAAGCTGGTCTGATTGTCTAAAGTATCTCTGACCCTCCTCTCTCCCTCATCTAGCTCTAGCTTACTTGTTCACCTGATCTCAGCTCACCTGATCTCAGCTTAAATATGACCTCCTCATCCATGGCCTCTCTGACTCCTCAGGCTGGGCCAGTCCCTTTGCTGTAGGCTCATGTTCCCCACACCTCCCCTTTGGTGAGACCCATTCACACTTAAATCTAATTACCTGTTCAAACACATTTTGCCCAGCAGACCCTAAGCTCCATAAAAACAGAGGACATGACTCTCTCCTACAGCACTGTGTCCCCAGTGTAGCACAGTGCCCAGGTTAGATCAAGCATTCGATAAACACTCACTGATTTGTGGATACTGCTTTCATGATTTGGGCTCTGTCTGCCTCTCATCTCCATGCATATTCTGTGTCACACTTTCTGTTTGCCTGAGAAAACCTTGTGTCACTTCATATTTTTTTAAGCTCATGCTCTTTTCAGCAGAATTGTCTTCCCAGCCTTTCCTAGCTACCGCCTAATCATTGTCAGCATCACAAGATAGAACTAAGTGTGTAGCTGTCCTGTGACCCTTACCATGATATTTTGAAATTATTTATTTGATTACATGTTTTTGTGAGTAGGGCTGTGTGTGGTTTCCTTTATAGTAGGGACTCTATTTTGTTTACTTTTACTCGTCCTGATAATCCCAGCACCTAATACAGGTCAGACTGAATCGAAAAAGTCGGAATGCCTCATAACTAGAGGTGTAATAATAATAATACAAGTAATTGCTGACGTTATTGACTACTTTCTGTATGCTAGACACAATTTTAAGTGCTTTTACTCTGTTAATTCATTGAATCATCTCAACTCCTATGAAGGAGTCACTTTTATTCTTCCCATTATATAGATGAACTGGAGAGACAGAAAGGTTAAGTAAGTTGTCCAGGCTTAACTGGCTGGTAAGTGGCAAGGCTGGAATTTAAACCCACTGGTTCCGGAGCCTACTCTCATCTGTGGTGGTCAATCAGTTTAGTCTAGTGCTTTCAAAATTGGGTTCTAGAATCTCGCTGTGTGGTTCAAATTCTGGATGAGGATAATTACATATCCTTTATAGGGATGTTCTGAGGATTAAATCAAATAATTAGTCCATGTGAAATAATGTAGGCAGTTGTAACAGTGTTGAGTCAATGTGAGCACTCATTGGACAGACCTTTTGGTGTTCTTTCCAACCCTAAATTCAATGAGTCTGTCTTTTTATAGTTTGTCAGTCTTTTCCCTTTCCATTACCTGTTACTTTTCAATGTTATGGTGTTTATTTTTAATAATCAACCTTTATAAGGGCCTGAAGACATCTCTGCATTGCTATCAAGTAAGATCTATGAGCTTTGTGACAAGCATGTGCTGCCTAAAACCACAGTCCTAATTTCCCATACTCAAATCTGCAGGCTAGGTGGCTGAATAAAGATGTCTGGCTAAAGAGAGCAACTGAATTCCTATTTATAGCCAGAACAAAGCACAGAAAGAAATCCAATCAATCAATTACTGTTGTCTAATTCTTGGAAGTTTATTGAGATGTTCTAATTGTAAAAGAACTAAAATTAACTTGTCAACACTTGCCGCACATGTTTCCTCTTTCCAAGTTAGGTGAAGGCCAATTTTGGATAGTCTGTGCTGTTAAACTGATTAGCAGTCAGATGGAAACGTTCAGCAGTTTAGGTGATTATTTCATTGTAAAGGCTCTTCATACTTTGACATACTTATTACTTTATGAAACTCATAAAATCATAAGATATTTTTCATCTCCCCGTGTATCAAGAGGCACTGCAGTAGCAAAAACGTTGGTGAAAACTACAGAGTGTATGGTTCTGAGGCTTAATGGTCTGACTTGTGTGTAAACTTAACTACTTATCAGTAGTTATACAACAATGTAGTGAATGTTCAGAAGCGGATTTGTGTTACGTAAATAAATCCTATCTGTCCATTTATTTATTTTCTTCAAAGATAGGACAAAGCTAATGAAAATATAGCAAAAAATATATTTAAAATAGGTGAAATCAGAGACGATTGTGGCAGCAGGGGGGAGTTTAGTTCACAGAATAAATACCGTGAAGTCCAAAACACTTGGTGGAGTTGGGTCTCTCTGACTGCCTACATAAAGAGGGAAATAAAGGACAGCTATGTGATTTATAGTGCCCATAAACAATACAAATCAGTTCTTGAGAAGCACAACTATTGCAGTAAACAAGACTAGAGAGAAATGTCTCCTGTTGTCCAGATTATGGTAAATAGCACCTTCAGCAGCCCTTGTACGGTAAAACACAGCAACAGGTTTCTTACTGCTGCTGCCTTCAATACAGGCTATTTTTGGCATCATAAAGATCAATTCAATAAAAGCAATTCCACATGGGTCTTTTTTGCAACCCATTGATGTACTGGCTTAACCTGGGGATTGATTTATAGTATTTACAGGTACAAAAAGATTAAATTTTCTTAGGTAATTTTTTCACTGAGCTTTTAGAGAGTATTGATTAGATATTAGTTTTGGGTTAAATAATCAGACACGTCTGGAAATTGGAAGTTCCACTGGGAAGTGAGCTAGGTAGGGCCAGCAGGGCCAAGATTGTTTTTAAGAAATAATTTGGGATTGTCTCAAAGTTGTGTACCATAGAACTGTAGTTTTTTAAATACAACAGTGAGCATCAGGATCACCTGGAGGATTTTTAAAAGACAGGCCCATCTCCCACCTCTATAGTTTTCTTTTTAGTAGGTCTGGGGTGGGTGAGGTGAGGGCATCTTTATTGAAAAAAAAAAAAAAGCCACGTAAGTGATTCTAGTGATCAATGAAGTTTTAGAACTACTACCATAGATTATGCTGCATTAATTTCAGATAGATAAAAATTTAAAGCAAATATAACCAAATATACCTTAGCCATAAAACCATCTATTTTTAGTTAAGATCATCTGTTTTTGAGGACTGTAAATTCCCAAAATACTATCTATTGTAAGCTGTTTCTGAAATGTACGCCTAGCCAATTGAATAAGGTGATTTAATGTATGGATTTATTAGTAACCCAATTAAAAGTTTTGGTGTATCTACTGGAGGTGATGAATTTTAACAGTTAATATGTATTCTGGGATAATTTTTTATTCTCACCATTGTCTGATTACATTTCCATATAAATTAAAAATATTTCAATAATTATAGTCTATCTAGAGAGCATTTTCTTATTTTTAGTCCTCAAGAAATTATAAAGCATACTTATGTGCATTTTAAAGTTATCTGAGATCTCTAGAGGTGTGTTCATTGTAGGCTTTCAAGTGATAATATGAAAAAATGATACTCGGAGATTGGTATCTCACATACTCTTTACTTATCTGCAGTAGTCACTAGTTATAAACAAATCTTTAACTATAGCAAATCTTTAATGTAGTAAATCTTTGTTTAAAGTAGAAAACAAAGCCCATATATGTATGTGTGTGTGTGTGTGTATGTCTTAGTCTAGCATTGATAACAACAACAGAATCTTGAGTAAATGTCTTATGTTTACTTTTCATTATTTCTTACAGGCATTGCTTCTATGACAGTGCCAGTGTACATCGCTGAGGTCTCGCCACCCAATTTAAGAGGTCGATTAGTCACCATTAATACCCTCTTCATCACAGGAGGGCAGTTCTTTGCAAGTGTTGTTGATGGAGCCTTCAGTTATCTCCAAAAGGATGGATGGAGGTCTGTAAATAGTTCTTACATTTAATTTTCAAATCATGATTTTAGCGGATGAGAGAAAAATTGAGAAATGATAGGAAAAATGTAACTGGATAGTTTGAATCGTTATAGCTAATTTGTAAGTGGGTAGCACTCAACAAAATTGAAAATGGACAAGAAGCTGATATTTATTTTAATGATAGACGAGGAACCTACCATTAAGAGTTGATATTTACGGGGTTTTTTAGCATTTAGGTGACATTTCTCACACTGCATGTAATCTTTTGCAATATTTGTTTAAAAATGAATGCAGCAATAAATATGCATGGGGGTTCTTGAATTGTATCAGTGATTGACAAGCTGTTTATGAACTGCAGATATAACCAACATCTTTTTTGGATTTAGGAAGCTACATTCTGATCTGAATGAAGGAAAACCCAGTCTCTAAAGGTATAGATATAGCTATATAAAAGATGTTACATACGTAAATTTAAAATACACAAATTATTCTTTGATCACTATTTGGCTTATTTTGAATCGAAAGAGATGAGAAAAATGTTTCTAAAACTGCCTTAAAATATTTTCAAACTGAATATTGTAAAAACAAACTAATGTTGAAGCTTATGATATTATGGGCTGTGGATTTTGATACTATACTTTATACAAAACAACAGATTCATGTCACTGTTCCAGGGAAATTTCATTAAAGGGCACCACAGCTTACACAATCTTCTCTAACTTGTTTTCTTGCCACCATTTATTGCCACAAATGTTTGTTGAGCATCTCCTCTGTGTAGGTGCTGGGGATAGAATCTTGAACAAGACAGATTTGAGTCCTTTTTGCATGGTGCTCACAGTGTTGGAGTTGATTCTTACAGCTGAAGAAAAAGGGTTCGATGCAATGGGGATGTAGGAAATTAAACTTCTGTGTAAGCAGTACAATAAATCATGGCTTAGGATAGTCATTAAAGACTTAGAAGAAGTTTTATTAAAAGTCATTTGAGAAAACTCATTGAAGCCAGTTAAGGCCTACATTTGTCAGGACCATTAAAGAGAAGACACAGTTCTTAAAAGCATTAGTTCTGTCTGCGGATGTTGCTAAACCACTTTCTACCCTTGAAGGAATGAATCTCTGCCAAATTGAGAAATTACTGGAAAATTGAAGCAGGAAATTTCATTTTTCTTTTTCACTCTGTAGATGGTCAGAAAGAAGGAGATGATAATTGTTATCAACCAAACCTGATATTTTGAGTTTTTCTTGGAAGCTCACTGGAAGTCAGTCTTTCAACCCCACGTCTTTAAGAAGATCTAAATTATCTATTTACATTTAGTTAAAAGTTTTACTAATATAACTAATATATATATGCTTTTATTTTAAATATGTTTTTAAATGAAACTGTATAAAGTATGCAAGCCATGTTTTTGACTTTAAGTATAGCAGTTTAGATATATTTTCTCAGTACTGGTTAGGAAAGAGAGAGATCATACGGTGAGTGTGGTGTCCCTGTGTAGAAGTGGAGGTCTTGGGACAGGCATTGTGACGTAGTTATAGACAGACCTGGACACAAATCCGTTTTCTACCACTTATTAGCTATGAACCTTGGACAAGTTACTTAGCTCCCCTGAGCTTCACTTTTGTCCTTGTAAAAAATGGGACCCAAAAGACTTATCTTGCAAGATTATTGTGGGATCTAAATTAATTATTTTATGTAAAGTATTCAGCCCAGTGCTCAGCACATGGGAGATGCTCAATAAACAATGAATCACGTTATCATCTACTATTCTGAGGAATGAATAAAGAGTGCGTGCTACTATAAAGTTGTAAGGGAGGTTGAAGGAAAATGCATCCTATGGCCTTTGTTTTCTTATCAGTAAAGATGGGGCTTATAGGTGATAGAGCAGAGGCCTAGAGAAAAAAATGTTAAGTGCTCATAGCTGCTGTAGAAAGTATAAGAGGGAAAAGACTGGAGACAAAAATGATTTTCCAAATAACCGTGGGATGCCAGCTGAAGTTGGAGCCGTATATTTGCAGTAAAGCCAAATAGCACGCCTGTGTGAATTTTTCCTGCAATACTGGAGAGCCCAGGGGTGAGAAAATAAAATAAGAGGATGAGAAAACTAACTTGGGCCCGTATTCAAACATTATAACATACCAGATCACTTTGAACCCATTTATTGTTTGCAAAAATACACATTTGCTTATGTATACGTGCAAACGTTCACTTTTTTTACAGGTGAATTTTCTGTGTGTTATTCTTCTCCCTTTTTTAGTAATCTTAGCAATATGTTTACCTCATCTGACTCTTGGGCTAATCGGAGTGTGGTTACAAGCAAATAAAGACTGAAGAGCTACCTTAGCATCAACTTTCAAATTGTCAGCAATTACAACTTATTCATAATTGTAACAACAGATAATTCATCATTTTTGTGCCAATGTATTTCACAAATCCCAGGGAAAATGTGGGTCTAAACGTTGCATATAAAATTTCTTTCTCGTACTCGTATTTTCATATATCATAAAGTAAGATGTCCCCTACCTTGCAAGAGTTTGAATATTTTAACGTTTTGTTTCTTTTGTATTTCCCTTTGTGACTTTTATTGCCTCTGAAACTCCACTTCATGTTATTAAACATTTGATCTTATGCTATATACTCAGTGTCCCAGATTTACTAGCTCACAATATAGTGATGAACAATTTTAGAGACTGTTAGTGAATGTCATTTGATTCTAACCAAAATCTTGGCAGGCTGGTGGAACTGCTATTACTCCCAATTTGCAGATTTAAAAACTGCTCAGAGAAGTTAAATATTTGCCTGAGGCCACATGGTTATTACACGGCAGAGAATAGAGCCAATTCTTCTTACTCGAAATCTAACCACTTTCTTCTTCATTCTGTTTCCAAGAGTTTGTAATCTAAAATATAATTATTGGTAATTCTTACAGTAGCGATCAGGTTAAGACATATAGAGAAGATGAAACTGATTAATCAGACAGGAAAACTTAGATTTTGATGTTGTTGAAAGACTTACCTTTTATGCCGGATGGGTCAAAGCTTCTGTTCTCTTATTGTTTGAATGTCATAGAAATAAATTGTTTTCTACTGAACAACTGGAATATTAGTTTTTCTAGAAAAAAAGAATTGCTAGTAGAAGATTGAATGTTGGTATTTTTCTGGCTCTCTAGTGTTGCAATACATTCTGTGCTGGGAAGGATGTCATCTGGCTTCATGAGGAAAGTGGAATAAGGATTTTGAAGATATCATTAAAGATTAGATTTTTTAAAACAACTTTATTGAGATATAATTCATATACCATTCAATTCACCCATTTCAAATGTACAATTCAATGGCTTTTAGTATATTCATAGAGCTGTGCAGCCATCACTGTTGTCAAATTTGGAGCATTCTCGTTACTGCAGAAGAAACTTTGCACTCCTGAGCTGCCACCCCCCGCAACCTCCCACCTCCAGGCAACCATTAATCTACTTTTTGTCTCTATAGATTTACCTATTCTGGATAGTTCATGTATCAATATGTGGTCCTTTGTGACTGGCTTCTTTCATTTAGCATGTTTTCAGGGTTCATCCATGTTGTAGCGTGTGTCAGTACTTAATTTCTTTTTATTGGCAAATAATGTGGATAAACCGCATTTTGTTTATCCATTCATTAGTTGATGGACGATTGAGTTGCTTCCACTTTTTGGCTATTATAAATAATGCTGCTGTGAACATTTGTGTACAACTTTCAAGGTGGACATAGGTTTTCAATTCTCTTGGGTATATACCTAGGAATAGAATAGGTAGGTCATGTGGTAACTGTGTTTAACCATTTGAGGAACTGCCAGACTGTTCTCCAAAGCAGCTACACTATTTTACATTCCCAGTTAGCAATGTATGAGAATTATAGTTTTTTCCACATCCTAGTAAACACTTGTTATTATCTGTCTTTTTGATTATAGTCATCTTAGTGGGTGTGAAGTGGCATCTCGTTGTGGTTTTGATTTGCATTTCCCTGATGACTAATGATGTTGAGAAAGATTTTATTTTTACCTAATATATCATAGTGTGTATAAAGATGGCAGAGGCATTTTGGTAGTTAATATTAATGATATAAAGTTTTATCACTGTTTGCCTTTTTCTGTGCTAATATTTTTAAATCTTACTTATTGAACATAGTGAGATTTACTCACTACAGCTCAAGCAAACAAAAGTTTTCTTTTTTTAATTGCTGAGTTAAAGCCTGGCACGTAGCAGGCCCTCAGTAAATATGTAATAAAGTGAATTTAACAGCCACTACATGATTTGTCTAAAATATTTATCTGGGCATGCCGGTGCTAAAATGCTTCAAAGCCTCCTCATTTCCTACAGGAAAAAAAATGAAGCTCTTTATCATGGCTTGTAGTGTCTTCCATTATCCTATCCGTGCCTGCTTTTCTAGATTTTTGTAAGTCATTGTTGCCTCCCTCCCTCCTCTTCTATACAACAGCCATGCCCGTATACCCTATACACCAGTCGCATCTTGCTTTTTCATGTTTCTGTTTTTTTTCCTTCTGCTCCCTTTGCCTATAATGTCTTCCTACCCTGTCCTGGTTTACTGGTCCAAATGCTGTGCCTCCTTTAAATCTCTGTTTGTATTTCATGTGAAGCTGTCTTTGTCCCTCTGTTCTTTCTTTTTTTTTTTTAAAGATTTTATTTATTTATTTATTTTCCCCCCAAAGCCCCAGTAGATAGTTGTATGTCATAGCTGCACATCCTTCTAGTTGCTGTATGTGGGACACGGCCTCAGCATGGCCAGAGAAGCAGTATGTTGGTGCGCGCCTGGGATCCGAACCCCGGACCGCCAGCAGCGGAGCGCGCGCACTTAACCGCTAAGCCACGGGGCCGGCCCCTCTGTTCTTTCTTAATACTTTGTACATAGCACCACATTTATACTCATCGTATTATTTTGAACTAGTTGCTTGTTTGTGTATCTCCTCTGATTTACTTTGGAGCTCCTGAATGTCATTGACCTTGTACTCATTTTTAGA